GGGCAAAGGGGATGCCGGGGGGAAGACTTACCACCTGGTCAGTGGTGCTGGGTTGGATCTCAGTCATTGCTGTTGACGGGAGGATGAAGTGATCGAAAAGATTGGCATGAAAATTTATAGAGATGGTGGGAATCTGGGATATGAAAGACCCAAGGTCGATTACTGGTGGACACCTGGGTTAAGAGTGAGAGGGAAGAATGGAAATGCAAAGGGATCGGTTTGGGGAGAAATTCGAAGAGGTGGCCTGAATATATATACCTGTGGGTTGTGTGTCTGTGCGCGCCTGCAAATCTCTCGGGGCAAGTAGCCATCACTGTTGGCTGGCTGTGATCCTTATTCACTTGTGGGGGGGCCTGGGCAAGTGAATGTGTTGCAAGCTCAGAGAAACCTGGAGCAACAGTAGATGTGGGACCGAGTCATAGACATCTCAGTTTTCAGAGACCTCCGTCATATTCCATAGTTAAAAATGGGAAGGAAGGAGCAACGGACGGCCCCCACCTCACTGCAGCAACGGCATTTTTCTGATACTCACAGCAGCAAACCATTTGTTGTGATAAAGTTGGAACGACTCCCGTCCCAGTTTGCGACCTTTTCAAACAATACCGCCTGTCAAGATGACCTCAAACCGCGGAAAAGCTGGTGCTGGAGAGAGAGGTGCCCTTTCAATAGCCGCCAGAACATTTCGGAAGCGCCGTGAAAAACGCGCTGCTGCTGCCGCCGTCGCCGCCGCCGCTGCTACTACTTTCGACATTCACCCAGACTCCTGCCGATGCCGCTCCGACCCCCGCCCTCCAGAAAGCCCAAGAAAGTTCCGGGAAGAGATACACCAAGAGACAGCGTCAGGCCCGTGCGACCGAACGTCAGTTGAAGTACTTGGTGAAGAAAAACCGCGAGATGAAGGGCATGATCAAGAAGTTGGAGGCGAGGTTAGACAAGTTGGAAAAGGCGGCCACAATGCGCTTTGCGCGGTATGAGACGAACACTTAGCAGACTAATACAGCCATTGGCTACATACTTGACTAGCAAGAAGAAGAGCACCGAGGCAAATATAGGTCTGTGAGTCACTTTGCCCATGTTCCTTCGTTTTACGAACAGAGACCTAATGCATATGGCACAAATCACAGAAGGCGGGCAACTGGTTGAAATTCCAGACCAAAATCCCGTTGTGAGAAATAGATTGAAAACGATCTGGTGTTACTGAGGTGTAGGAAGGAAGAGGAAGGCATGGATGTTTATTTTGAACTTTTCGGTCCGATATCTTTGTAAAGTAGACATAGCTTCATCTGAAGTGTCTACAGCTTTTCAGATTTCAGTTTGACTACCCAGGTATCTACAAAGCCAAAACCCCCACCCAAGTACCGTCACTCAAGCGCCTACAAAATGATGGCCCTTATCCAAACTACCGGGCTTAAACCTAGCTTGCCGTCTCATCTCATTGGATCTGCCAAGACGATCTCATCTCATTGGCAATATTAGCTACTATCAAGGCCGAGCCACACAGTCCGGACTGGGCACTCGTCCAATCCATGTACTTCAAGTAGGTATAATTGCCAAGGCCAAAGCTGTCGTTCTGACCGGCCCACGGGATGTGCCGACAACAAGAAATGATCTTGTTGTTGTAGAAAACTACATGGTAGACAAACGGAACAAGAAGCGATAGGTCGAGGATAAAAGAAGAGTAGTGAAGCAAGAAAAACAGCGGCCTAACATCATCTAAGCAGTAGCCACACATTCCAAAAGCAGTGGCTAGATACGATTAAAACGGAGTTGCCATTGCCTCCAACACTGGGGCAATTCCTGCGTCTTGATATCGGATTGTACCAACACAACCATCATGGGTGCATACCGGGCTCAACGGCAGCTTGACAGCCCAAAGCTCTTCGTCCCCCGCGGCAACACTGCTTCAGACACAGCGCCATATACTGCGAACTGCACCTTGAAGAATGACCACTAGGCTTTCAAATACAGTCAAAAGGCCTTTAAAAATAATTAAAAGACCTTTAAAGATGTTTACAAGGCCTATTAATTTAGTCTCGATGTATGGTTTACATCATCATATGGGCCAACCTACTTGTGTGTATCAACTATTTTTTGGTGAGGGTGCATGGTCACCAACACTCACCCCTGTCCGTCACCTACGGGACCTCCATTCCTAACTAGCCTGGTTTTTCCAGATTCTGATTCCAAGATCGTTGTTTAAAGACTCTCGCCCGGCCCGGCCGTCTGAACGTCCTCCCCACGAACCGACGTCCCGCGCCTGATGATTTGCCCCACTTGATTGGGCAGTCTTGGCCCGGCAGAGTGAGTGTGAACGGTACAGTCAACTGGCATTTATCCAACTAGCACTGCAATGACTTTACAAACCAACGCATACCTTCATGGCTCCCTACTTCGGCTGACGGAACGGATGCGCCTCCGTATTAAAGACAAACTCATCAAGGCTGATGACGTCCGGAGGCGAAAACATCAAGTAAAAGTACTTGAGCGTCTCCGCCAAAAAAAAGCTCTCCATCGAGTCCAGCCTTCGTGTCTCGCCCTTCACAGTCACATCAGCAATAGCCGAGTACGCCAGCTTCGTCTCGGTGGACTTTATCACGCTCTCAAACATACGCCACGCCACCTCCCTCAGCTCCTCCTTGCCCGTCATGCGGTATAGCAAGAACACACTCTCGATGGCTTCCGGCCTCAGAATGTACCTCGGGTCGCGCGCGTTGGAGAAGCCCTTCTTCAAGCCCCGGGCACCCTCCTTCTCCCACTTCTCCTCGTCCCACACACACGGCTCCTTCACTGAGCCGCAGCGCACAAGGCCAAAGATCTCGGGCATCAAACCTGTCGGGAAAGCGTCGTACGCCCATCCACAACCACGCGCGATGCGCTCACCGATGTCGACGTGCTCTGGGAGGTTGAAGACCTTGCCCCCAAGCCCAAACATGCCACCCACAAAACAGGACAAATGCTGGCTTTCGGGGACGTGATCAATCTTATCAGATCGCACAAACGCATCGCCCACAAAGAGGATATCGTGGGGATTGTCCTCGGCCGGTATCATGGGTCGGAAAACCAGGTGTTCCACCACAACCTCCATGGCGGCGCGGTGCATCTTTTCGTAGCGCGGTTCCTGGCCGCCAAGCAAAATGGCCATCTTGGGCAAGTACTCGTACAACGAGTCTGCAAGGGCGCCGAGCGTGAAGCCTGACTCGTGGTTTAGCGTCCCCTCGCGAAAGCTGATCAGCTTGGGCCACATGCCGGGCAGTTTGGACAAGGACTGGGTGCGCTCGAGGAGGTCGGTGACTCGGCTGACGGCATCGTAGAACTTGGGATCTCCGGTGAGCTGCGACAGTCGCGTAAATTCGAGACTCAAGGAGGCCGGACAAGCAGAGGGATCGTTCGTTCCGGCAATTTGGGTGCCCCGCTTGGCGTCCTTGAAGTTGAGCCAGAAACCTGGCATACGGTTGGGTGTGTCAAAAGCCATGTAGAGCATGTTTCCCAGCTCTGTAGCCTTCTCCAAGAGGGCCCTTTCTCCGCTCAGGTCGTAGGCGCTGAGCAAGCCGCCGAGGTGTCGGATCGTGGTCTCGAACAGATTGGCGCTGGTGACGGTCGTGTCTGCCCAGTCCAGCTGGGCTGCTGCTGTTGCAGCGGACAGGAACTCATCGTGAAGGCCCATTATCCAGAGTGTATCCAGCGCGTCCACCAGTGTCGCAGCCCACCCGCCAAATGTCGTCTTGCCTTCTCCGCTAACCGGCGCCAGTTCGTCACGAAGCCATGCGTGCTTCCTGTAGCTCTTCCAACTCTTCTCGAAGGCATTGCGCACTGCTTCCTGTCGCTTTACGGTCGTCGCATCGTGTGTATAATCGCGGAAATGGTGCTGGACAGGTGGGAACTGCTTCGGTGAGCTCGTTGGAAGAGAATGGATCAGCTTCGCAGGATATCGTTGGCGGACCGTGGTCCAGTCGAAGCTACTGGGTTTGAAGCGGATTTTGGCATCAGGCCTCGATGGCTGCGGTGGGGGGCGGATGGGGGAGTCAAATGGGCGGAAGAGGGCGACGACGAGGAGGAAGAAGACGACGGCGAAGAAGGTTCGCACGATGCGCCGGCCCTGGATCATTGTGTCGGGCGGTCCAGAGGTTTGTGGACGGGATGGAATGGAAGTCAAGCCACAGTGCATAATTACCCCACGAAAGACGGGAGGTCAACTGTGGGTCCCCCCCAACTTCCCCAGCCGCCCAGCCACAGCAACTGGCAGAGCTGACATGTGCCCGGAAGCTCGGAAGTACGGGGGATCTTCTGGGGATTGCGTCGGCGCTAAGGCGCATGAACCAGCCGACTCCGATCTCGGCATCGAGGAGTGGACTCGGCCGTCGCTCTGCCGTGCGTCGGTGCAACGCATTGATAGGGAAGCCGGGTGGGCAGGTTGTGTCACTCATCCAACAGCTGCTGCTGAGAGCTTGACGGGGTAGCTCTGCCCGATGGATGTTTGGATTTACCATCTCTTTATCTCCCAGAGCCATTTCACCTGTGACTGTTGCAGCCCATGACCAGGAAGCGTTGTTAAAAAGCCGGCGAGCTGAACTTTGTGTGTATGTGATATCCCGCCTCTCTTCCACCCACGTTCTGGAGCCATTCGCTTTCGACGCGTTTGCTTTTGATACCGAATCACCAAGCCCCGACTGTGAAGGGGTTCGTTGTCTCTCTTCAATTTGATCACGTCTTTTTCTTCCTCCTCATTACTCATCTTCTCCCTCTTCCCTGCTCAACCGGACAAATAAATTCCACTCTGGATCCCGACAATTTTTTGGCACCTTTTTGGAAGCTTGGCAGACCCCGTCTCCGCAGCAAAAACCAGCATTATTTTTTTGTTTTCTTTCGCGGATAAAGGCGGGCTCTGTTTGTCACTCTCACAGCAGCCCCTCAGTCACTCTCTTCTTCGGTGTGTATGTGTTTCCAGACATCAATTGGCGTGCCACTCCTACAAGACCAGCTCACTCAAGTAGAATTGTGAGATGAAGGAGAGTGGAATAAACGGCGGCTTGGAAACTCTCAAACCGCCTCATCAGATTCTTGCAGTCGCAACTTCACCCCTCACCACCACAACCACCGCAATCATGGACGCCAAAACTACCACCACCATCACCAGTGCCGTCCCCCCAAGCGAGCAGACCACAAAATGGAACACCAAAAACCTCCCCTTCCGCCTCGGCGCCGACCTCATCTCCGCCGCCTCAGCAGCCGTCCTCGTAGCACCCATCATCTCAGTCATTGACCGGTATTTCTCCCCCCTTTTTCCCCCCGTTATCTCACCCTCGAGATCACTAACATCCTCCAGATCAATAATGGAAAACGCCTCAGGCCGCTCCCCCCTCCTAACCTCCCTCCGCACCTCCCTCACCACCTTCCTCACCTCCCCCAAAACAATGTTCCTCTCCAAACCCTTCGGCCTCATCTTCGCCCTCTACGGCGGCACCTACCTCACAGCCAACACCCTAGACACCTACCTCTCAACAACGCAATCCCTGCCCCCCACATACGTCTCCTCCGGCCCAGAAAAGTTCATCGCCTCCTCCACAGCAAACATAGGAATCTGCATCTACAAAGACCAAGTTTTTGTCCGCCTGTTTGGTCCCCCAGGCATCACCCGCCCTGTCACCCTCCCGTCGTACGCGCTGTTTGCGATGAGGGATTGCATGACGATTTTCGCGTCGTTTAATGTGCCGGGGCTGCTGGGGCCGAGGATACAGGAGAGGCTGAGCGAGGGGTGGAGGAGGTCGGGGCCGACGGGGGCGACGATGGCGCAGTTTGCCGCTCCGGCGGCGGTACAGGTTTTTAGCACGCCGGTGCACCTTTGGGGGTTGGACATTTACAACAGGCCGGGGGTGGGGGTGGGGG